GTGTGTGTGTGTGTGTGTGTAAGGGATGTGCGATATGGCATAAAATTCATATTACGATATGTATTGTGATGGGTGGTGGTAACGATATATATCATGATATGTTTTTGGTATAAAACTTGCAATAGGAATTAAAAAAAGCAAAGGGTGTCCTTTTGCCATCATTTATTTTGAAAACTGCTATACCACAAAATAACCTTTTGCCATCATTTATTTTGAAAACTGTTATACCACAAAATAATCTCAATTAAGAAAATTCCAATACTAGGGCCAGAGAGTTTTTAAATTATTAACAAATCAAATAATAGGCTTCTTTCTTGTAGTGCAAAACAGTGCAAAATATATCAAATGTAGTTTTAGCCATATGTTTTAAACCAAATAATTTGTTGTTAACTCTTAACAGTTTCCAGTATTCTCACATCATAAATGAACAGCAACAGAGCAGCAAGTGCACAGTGAAACATTTCACCCTTCAACCCTCTAATGGGCGTCTCCTTCTGCTTTAAGGAGAGCTGACACAAAATGGTGACCAGTTTCCTCTGTGGCTTTGACCAGAGGATCTCACAGTAAAATCACATAACACAGCGTTCTTTTCACAGGTCAGAGAGCAGGTTTAACCTTTTTTTTTTTTCGCTCAAATGCACTCTCCAAAGCGGACCAACAAACATTCGATGAAAAAAAAAACAACTTTTGACGGAACACAGCGTTTTCGCATGCTTCTGAATAAGAGTACGGCAAGCCAGCCATAGTTAACTTGTAGCTTCACTACTTAGCTCTCGAAGATAGGACTTTAACACCACTTATGCACAGTTTTCAACGAAAAAAAGTAACGATTAAATGTGACAACTCTGATTTTACATCAGACACAGCATTACTACGGTTAGCCGGTAGAATACAGATCTCTATTATAGGCTAAATGTCTATTGTTTCTACCGTGTACCGTACATATTGCGCATTCCCACTATATATATATATATATATATGTATATATATATATATATATATAT